ACTTAGAATTCATCCAATTCATCATCCAGGTACGTTACATATCAGGAATGTTTCGTGTCTGTTCCGTTAGGTAAGGCAACTTGTAGAATGGTACCTCTCGTCCCGTTATCTCAGAAATTCATGATGTTTCAGCTTATTCCTTACACCCACCAGCGTTCCAGCCCTATCAGTGTTGAGAACTCATTCGTACCAGGTCTGGCATACATTCCAGCATTCTTACATACCAGCAACGTGAGTTTCCTAGTAAAGTTCATGAATAGGATAAACATGACTGTTCTATGGCTATATGATTATATGGATTTATATGTATATAAGGCTTAAATTCATTACATACTGATTGTTTTTATCTAATTGTTGTACGCCGCCCAGAGTCGCTTTGTGTGAGATGGGTAGCCATATAAATATGATTAATAAATTAATAATATCTGTGATCACTTTAAATTTAGCTAGTCTATGCTCTGACCATGTAAGTTCCATAAATAAACAAGAGGCTTGTGAGGCTGATGTTCTGTTGAAGGTTATGCAAAACAGGGGAGGGAGCAGTGGAACATGCCATTTTTCTCCATTTATGTGCCATTTAGCCCCTGGAATGCACAAAATTGAACTTCTGGGCTGATTCATGCAAATCCTGGAACAGATTGACTACTTCTGTAAGCAAGGAATAGCATTACAGAGTTATGCTGTGTGTTGTTGATAAGATACAATAAATATGTAAAATTCTTGGTGCCAGCTATATGTAAAACTGAAAATACTGCTCTGGAGTCTTGTGTCTTATACAAGTTTTGTAGGTTTAAAAATTGGTCAGTATATGAGTTCATTTTCCTTTTGTTCCTTTGCAAATTGCCTGAGCCCCTTGAAAAAGTTGCATGGCAGTTGCATGTCTTCGAGGCATAGTTGGTGCCCAAGAAGAGCCAGTTCAAGGCTTGAGGCAGGCTTGGACCAGCTTCTAATTTCATGCTGTAACTAGCTGGCTCATGCTATGTGAGAGAGACTGAAGCATCAGAGGCCTTGGTTCAAGTGATCTGACTCCCCTTCGGAGGGAGTGGCTCAGAGGTTTACCTACAGGGCTGTGCTGAGGAATTTGCAAGGCATCTGAAAGATAAAGTTGATTGGATTCACACTACATTGGACTCAGGCCTTATAGCAGGTTCTGTGGAGATGACTGGGGCAAGGTCTGGCTTGGTTATCTGGGAGAAGTTTGATCCTGTTGGGCCTGAGGAAGTGGACAGGGTTCTGAAGGCTGTTAGCTCAGCCACCTTTGTATTAGATCCATGTCCCTCCTAGTTGGCTAAGGCCTCCTGGGAGATGATGTGTGATTGTATCTTGGTTGTATTTTGGTATCTCAGAGAGAGAGAGTGGTTTCCATTGTCTGTTAAGGAGGCCCCCTCCTCAAGAGGCCATCACTGGACCCAATGGTACTGGACAATTTTTGTCCAGTTTCCAACCTTTAGCTTCTGGGGAACGTTGTGGAGAAGGTGGTTGCACCCCTTTCAGTCAGGATTCAGGCCCCGGTATGAGGCAGAGACAGTATTGATTGCACTATTGGATGATCTCTGGTAACAGCGGGACGTGTGTGGTGCATCTGTCCTTGCTCTTGACCTCTCACCAGTTTTCAGTACCATCAGTCATGGTATCCTTCTGGACTGGCTTTGGGATTGGGGATGGGTGGCACAGTGTTGTGCTGGTTCTCCTCCTTCCTCTGGGACCAGTTCCAGTCAGTGTTGATAAAGGAGGAGAGGTCCAGTTCATGGCCCCACTCATGGCGCCACAGGGTTTGGTGCTGTCTCCTCTCCTGTTTAACATTTACATGAAGCCTCTGAGTGAGGCATCCATCGGTTCAAGGTTATATATCTCTACCCCGGGCTGTCCAAGTGATGCTGTGGAGGTCCTGTCTCGATGTCTGGAGGCTATGGGGGTCTGGATGGGGAACAGCAAGCTTCAGCTCAACCCTAGTAAGACTGAGTAGCTTTGGGTTTTAGGACCCCTTGGTTCTGGGGATGTTCCATCTCTTGTTTTGAATGTAGTTGCACTACCCAGACAGATCCTGTGTACAGTTTGGAGGTCCTCCTGGACTTGGGGCTCTTGCTTGAAGAGCAGCTGGCAGCCATGGCCAGGAGGGACTTTGCACAGCTTCGTGTTGTGTGCCAGGGGAGGTCCTGCTCATGATCACTCATATGTTAGTCACCTCCCACTTGGGTTATTACAATGAGGTCTGCATGGAGCTGCCCTTGAAGGGTATTTGGAAGCTTCAGCTAGTGCAAAATGCAGCGGTGCAGATAGTGTACGAAACAAAGCGTACCAAACTTTTTCTGGGT